GGGTCTTCAAACCAGTTTATGTGCCTCACAAAGTGTAGAGCATCTTAATGTGCCACCCATGAATATAGTGTGGTATTCCCAGTGATCCTGATAGTCAGGCTTTGATTCCTGACCTGGAAATGAAAGGGAGAGGAAGCAACACGTAAAAAGAGAACAAAATCAGACCCTGGCCTGACCTATAAATGCAGTAATCACAGTGGTTTGAGCATGAGAAGAAGATATACCAAGCAAGAGCTCAGGAGGATTTTCTGTACCCTCCAGAAGCAGTAGTCCATCTTTCTCAGGCCTACTTATGTCTCTACTTATGACTAGTCTACGTAACACTTCAAATGGAAAGGTCTGGGTAGCTAAACAGGAGGTGTCATAACTTTTAAAAACCTGATACTTCCGGGGTTCAGAATATAGCACTGACTATGTAAGTAATCCCAGTCTTCCCAGGGTCCTGAAAGAGAGGAGTAGCTGGAAGGGCTGTGTTCACCAACTCCAAGGTTGCTGGTCAGGACCTACTTTTCACACAAGCCCAAGTTGAAGTACTCTTTCCAATTGCTAAATAAAAATGTACTTTTTTTGAGAGAGATCTGATGATAAAAGACTCATAGCTATGGAAGGGCATATTTTCCCCAAGAGGTAACTGGAATGTTCAATCATTCTTGCTTCTAGGGAATGGTATATTATTTCAAAACTGAGTTTATCTAACTGCAGATGGACCTTGAGAGGTTCTTGTAAACAGGATAAAAGGACCTCACTCTACGAAGGACCTTACTTAAATACAGGTGTATATAGTTATATGCTTTAACCAAACTGCCTCTCATTCTTCTCTATGATAAAATAAATACCAATCATCTCCCTACTGGAAATCCCTCTGCCTTTGTACATCTAGAGATCACACTGATGGAGTAGTTACATCTGAGTTCCAAAGACCTTTTTAAGAGTCATAGTTTTTTAAGGCAGAGTACTCCACTTTGTAAGCACTATCTACATCTTTGATACCTGTGTATATTATTTTGCATTTAGCTATATTAAAACAAATCCTGTTGCTTTGTGGGTGAATGGCCAAGCCTTTTAGATGACTCTGTAAGAGTACCTCGTTCTCATTATTTGAGACAATAACGATCTTTGTTCTGTCTCAAATTTTTATGGTAAAAAATTATTACATAAGAAGTGCAGATAAAAGTTAATAAATTATTTTTATGACCTTCTGCAGAATGTCCTGCATTAAGGAAGTAAGCATCCATATTTAAATATGATTGTGTTGAAACTCTAAAAAATGGTCACAGTGAGTGTCCAGATAAAGTCTTCAGTTAAAAATTATATGAGATAAAAAGATTGATTGTCAAGTCCATATATGTTTGTTTTATTTCTACAGGTATCCTTGGTCAGCATGTTTTTTTTTTTCATTCCTTTTCAGAAAGAGACAAGGGATAGTTTAGCATTTCAAATAGAGCAATTTGTAGTACTCTTTCACCTAGTTTTAAGCTGCGTTCAGGTAAAAAAGGTATGATTATCTCTGGAGGACAATAAGAAATATGTAAAAACACCCTAAAATTTCCTGAAAGTATGATGTTTCTCTATATGTGCAGGGTATGATGCTACCATGGTGTCCGGATTTGTATATAGTTATATGCTGTCACTGTATATATGTAACCATGTATATTATTGTAGCCAACATTTTTTCCTCACTCCATCTCCTGATTAATCTTGTTTAGATCCCAGCTCTGCCACTTGTTCCATCAGGGTGAGTTTGAGGACATTATCCAAGTATTTTGGCGTGAGAGACATAAAACTGACAAAAAATGAAAGGAGAATTAAATCTACATTATACTGTAATGGCATGTGTTTCCTGTATGAAAAGTTTCTGAAAAACTTAATCAAGCTGAAATCAGTAGGGTTCTTCAGACATTATTCTAAGAGAATATCATAGACAATTCTGTTCCTTTTTAAAGGCTTCTTTGACCATATTTTGGGATTTGAGAGCAGAGATGTTGTTTCCTAGTGGTTTGTACCATGATATAAAAGAAAAAAAAAGGAGAAAAAGCCGTGTGATCATTTTGAGTTTATTTCTATAGGACTTCTTCTATATTCTTTAATTATTCATGATGAAATCCTCTGAGTAAATGGATTTTGCAGAGGGATGATGGGGATGATCCATAAAGTACAAGAGAAAGGGAGCTATATATGCCAAGTGGGGAGTATTTTAACATTTCATTTCTATGCATGACTTAAAATACAAATAGCAAAGTCTGATAAGTATAAAACAAATTAAAATGACAAGATATACTGTTGTTGCAAGTACAGTATAGTAGTGTAGCCTTGCATTTGCTATTTACCTTGCAAAATTTATGTTTATAAAAGTTCATAAACTGGATACAATTCCTAAGAGACGATGTGTCTCTAGCTGAGAACCAGGTATACTTTGTTAGGCCATTTATTTGAGATTTTTGTTACTCTACCTTTTTCAGTAACTCAAAATTAACGTTCTTGCATAATTTTGAAACCTGGAGTTTCAATAAAGCTTTTCATTCCCAGGGATAATAAGTACTGATCCAGCCACCCAGTTCCTAATGGCTGTGTAAGGAAAGTAGTATTGTTATCACAGTGTTATTAATTGTAAAACTTAGGCAGAGGAATTAAAAAACTGCTCCCATCAAGCAGTTACTGGACAGCCTGAGAATAAAACTCATGATTTTCCCGATTTCACTTCCTTTGAAACAAATCTTTAATGCCGAGATTCCTCAAAATCTTGCTGCTGCTACCACAGCATTTCATAAGGGAGACTGAGAAGGGAGGGGAAAGGTGAACCTATTGTAAAGCAGTAAGCGTGGTAAGCGTGGCATCCAAACAAGGGAAAAAACTTTTTAATACTGGAATGAATTTGCTCTCTGTGTCAAGTGTGAACGGTGCCTGCATTGTGCGGTTTTGTTGTCCACTCTCCCGAGCAGATGGAGCTTGCAGTTGTATGTCACTTGTTTATTACATCCTCTTAAGATTAGTAGCTGTGTGGCCAGATGGGTCTGGGAGCACAGCTGTGGATACAAGGAAATAAATGAAACCTGTCTGATGCTGCCATGCCCTTTTGTGAGATACTGACGTGTTGCAACTGCAACAAAGCAAAAATCACTTTCCTTTAATATATTAGTGAATTAGATGTACTTTCTCTTTTTTTTTTTTAATCAAATCATATGAAATCAGGAGGATGAAGTTCAGAGGATGATACAATTCTAATAGGAAAATGTAGTTGAAATCTGTAGCCAACAGCCTCAGCAAATTTCCAGAAGCAATTTTAATGAGGTAAAATAAATTTAAAGTACATCTCAATTAATCATCCGTATAAAATGTAAAGCAAAGGTTTCTATAGAACAAAAAATATGCTCCTATAGAACATACGCCAACTAGGTAGTAGTATTTCAAAATTTATTAGGTGGCATATGTTGAATTATTGATCCAACATTCTGATAAACTATATAAATGCATTCATGTAAATGCAAATGAAATGCTGTTCTATAGAAGAATGCCAGATTATGGGCTAGACTTTAAAAAATGAAATGCACAGTTTTAACTCCTTCAGAGCAGTGGACAAACAAAGCTGATCACAAAGCCACCACCAACGTGTAGAGCTGGTGGATAGGATTCATCCTACAGTGCACACTAGAGGTACTATCTACACTCTCTTTCTGGTCCAAGGGGAGAAATGGGCATTTTTGGGAAGAATTCACCTGGCTTCTCCTAGAGGACACAGTGAATCTTACACCAGAGGGTCAGATTCTGTCCTTGCATGGTAAACAGTGTCTTATTGTCTGAGTGAGGTGTAGGCATCTCCTTTCAGTCCCACTGGTGCAGAGTAGGTTTCATGTGGCGTCTTCAGTACCAATTTAGATTAGTTGTTATAAAGTCACTGAACTGTCTTTTTTCTCTCCTTTAAAGTGTAGAGCAGAATTGTTCTGATGTAGTTGTTTTATACCTTAACATGAAGCAGAGATTTGGAGCGGAGGTTGTTCCTTCTTTCTGTAAAGGGAAAATGGGGTTTGGAGGTACAAACTAACATGTTCCTTTGGAGAATCTCAGTGCATGATTTTAAAAATACATCATGATGATAAGGAAAATCTGAACTAGTGTAAAGTGTGCTGTGCCTTACAGAAAAATAAATCTTAAAAATGTGAAATAGTGTGACTTTGAAAGAAGTATTGTTATAAAGGAGATGATCATTTATTATGAGATCTAAAGTCGGAGCTTAACAGAGTCCAGCCTTAAAGATGATAGGCAGTCACATAATGAGTATGACATGTAGTACAAAAACATTTTTCTGCTTCTGAAAGCTGCTATAAATCATGTATACTTTGGAAGACTCTTTTATGTTAATTAAGAAAGATGCAGCAAGATGCAATATTTTATGGGAAGAGAGGCAAGTGCAAGTGCAAATTGTTGTGCTTTTTGCCTTATTGCAGAGAGGAAGGAAGAAAAGTTCCAATTCTGAAGGATTTTGTAGCTCCATATTGTAATGCATGCCAGGAGGTTGGGAGGTAGAGGTAGCAATTTTCATTGACTTCCACCATACTGTGTTTGCTTCATTAAAAAATTACAAATTTGTTGGCAAAAAGCAGTAACATATTGCTAGAAAACATCAAAATTCACAGTGTAAATTCATAACTTAAATTTGTGTTCAAAACTGTGGTTTGTGAATTCTGTCTGTTAAAAAAGTAGGAATAGCATAATAAAAGGATATAAAGCTCCTATTTCTAGGTCAGACTAAAGATTTTTAAGCCAAATATCCTCTTTCTGGCAGTATATCAGACTCACCAAAATCTTTATTAAGTGAGTGGATTTTTTAATATTTGAAATGATAATCACAAAAAAGAAATCATTAAAGCATCAATGCCTTATGCAGTTATATATGTCTGATATTATTTTGATTTTATTATAGAAGGGAAATAATATTTATTCCTGATTACTCTGAAAATATGATGTTATTTCTAACACATTTTGTTTTTCTTTTATTTCTACAGGAAGTTGCCCTTGTCCTTGCAGCTATACTAGTATTTTTGTTGGCTTTCTATGCTTTCTTTTATCTTAACATTTCCAATGAAGTTGACCTTGATCTGGATCCAGATGAAAACTAGCAGATGCAATGAATCTATCATCAAGATTTCTTCTGCTTCAACAAGACTGCATAGGAACACACAGTCCCTTCAGCGTGAGACCGTAAACGATGCCATTTCTTGCAGTCCAAATTCATAAGAAAGTTTTGCAATACGTCAGTCACTTCTACATTCTAGATCTCCAAAATAAGAACACTTATGCCTGGCCAAGTGTATTTGATTAACACCAAGGCCAGGAGCAACAGTACAATACATGAAATTTATTGTTTACATTATTTTTGTCTCAGGCAGAGAACTTTGATGTCAAAAGACAGGTGCTATTATTATCATGGATATTCATGCTGACTTCACAGGAGTGTCTGCCTTGACCAAACTTAGGAATCAAAGCTTCCTAATAACCAAATTAGTTTCCTTTTCCAAAAGAAAACAGAAATACCAAATAAAAAGTCTTTTATTTAAAATATATCAAAACACCCTCATCCTCCCTCTCCCTTTTAATCTTTCTTGGGCATGTGTGCACACGTGCGTACATGAAGATGGAAGAAATTGTAGGGGAAAAAAATCCTTTTAGAAGCAGTCTGTCACCTTCTATATGGACTTAATTTTATGTCATCCCAGATTCTGTGTGCTCATATATCTGCAGTAATCTTTTTCATTCTTTTGCCAACTGTTCAGCACACATGTGTTCTGTTAGAAATGGCACCTGGATGACAGAAGCTCTAACATTCGCATATGCTTCTGAAACACAGTTCTTTGCTGCTGTGCCGTCTGAACTAGTGTAAATAGAAAGTTCAGTTGATGTTGGTTTTAATTAGTATATTAGTCTATTATTCATATAAAGTAAAAATTGTATTTTAATTATACTCTTCCTGATGGTTGTGGTATCAACTTGCTCTACCCGTTAGGGGAATGTTGTAAAAAAACGTTCCTTTCCAGCTATACAATCATTTTAATCATCAAACTAATGTAAGAAGTTGTAAGTAATAAGAAAGCACTTTTTTTTCCAGGTGTACTAATAATTGGGTAAATCTTGGCTCCATGACATGCTTCAGTTCTTGCAAAGTACCTTTCAAATTATGCACTGTAGATAACATTTCTGATCCCTTTGATAGCCACAGGTCGCTTGAAGGAGTTGGTATGTCAGAGCAGCTGCAAGGAGCTTTAGAATTCTGGCTTTATCCTGTTCTGCTTCGAGTTTGGCATATAACTAAGCTTGTGGATATAAAGGTTCAGCTTTGAATCCTTTAAACATGTGGTCAGTCTTTGTCTGGTTCAGATTCAGTTTGATATCAAGAAAAGCATAGAGCCATTGGTGCTGAATGTGGCAAGGAAGTTAGGCAGACTGACTTCCTGAAAAGTTTTCATAATTTTTAAGTTTTATTAGCGAACTAGCTTCACTTTACCTTTGGTACAAATTTCAGGGCTGAATGTTAGGTTTAATTGCAACTGAGGTATTTACTGTCTTGTTCCCGAGATGCCTAAGATTTCTTGTAGTGATTTTGAAGACAAAGGGATACAAATCACAGCAAATATTATAATGGAAAATATATTTCTTTTAAATTGACACAGTCCCATTATCACCACTTAAGAAACTTAGATCAGTACAGTTAATTTTTAAACCATACAGTAACTGTGAACATATACATTATGAGTCTCTAAAGATTCACTTCTTATCTGTCATACACCTTACTCACTTTATGCAATGCAAAAAACAACTCCTCTAAAAATTAAGAGTACAACAGTCTTCCGAGAAGAACACAAAAGAGAAACGTGTATGTGCAAATATTTCTCTTACAGACACAAAATTCTAACATGTATGCATGCATGTGACTTATAGTCTGATACTACTTGCACACATGACCACACATGTAGCAACATGGTGAATTTATGGTGAAACATTATCTGACACATGGCCTAATTTTCAGTGGAGGGAAAAGTGTATCACAAGCTGTCTGCTTGGATGTGACATGCCTTTCGCTTCACCAGTGCCCCACCACATGTCACAGAAGCTGCACACCTTTCCCGTTACTTTGCATTAGCATTTTTCTTGTTCTATAAGATGCTGGAAGGATTGCTTTCTTAATCTCTGCATAGAGCTCTCTGGGTGATGCATGGCCTGAGAAAGATGTGTAGTTACTCCCTTCACACAGGTTGTCTTGTAACCTGCTCTCTGAATTGGTTATGATAACAAGCAAGCAATTCTTACTGTCAGATTTATTAACATGAAGTTCCTAGAACAGGAAGATTGCCTTTCCCATAATTATGAATCAGACAAAAACTAAAGCATATATATATTGTGATTCTAGCAAGTTCCCTGATGTGCGGCTCATAAGTCTGTATTGCCCACAAGTGCCATAGTTTGCAGTGTGTTTGCTTTGCTTAGATTAGGCATTTTCATTTATGTGAAAGATCATAAACTTGTAGAATGGATCATAGAATCATAGAATGGTTTGGCTTGGAAGGGATCTTGAAGTTCATCCAGTTCCAACCCCACTGCCATGGCCAGGGATACCTTTCACTAGACCGGATTGCTCAGTGCCCCATCCAACCTGTCCTTGAACATTTCCAGGGGTGGGGCATCCACAACGTCCCTGGGCAACCTGTTCCAGTGTCTCACCACCCTCAGAATAAAGAACTTTTTCCTAATGTCTAATCTAAACCTCCTCTCTTTTTGTTTGAATCGATTCACTCTTGTACTGTCACTACATGCTCTTGTAAAAAGTCCCTCTCCATCTTTCTTGTAGGCTCCCTTCATGTACTGGAAGGATGTCCTCATGTAACAGGAACATTTCTTTTTGCTTAGGTAAACTGGATAGACTTCTATTCAGTGTATGTAGAAATATGTGGTAAATGTTGCAGCAAATACACTTTTTTTTCTTATCAGTACAATAATTTCTACTGGGACACGTGGTTTAATTTGCTCTTAATTATATCTGAGATTGAAACATGCCTCTTGGGGTTTGGATCATCTAGCTTTGTATGAGTTGCTCAGTGTCTTTTTTATTAATAAAGAATTTTTTACTATTTTGGTTCTCTTATTAATGTTGAACACACTGAATTATATATATAGATTTGAAAGGACATTAAAGCAATCGAAACAGCACAATGTTCAAAAGTGAGCAGTGATATCAGTTTTAGAATATCTGGATTATTTTAGGCAGTTCTAACCCCTAAGCTCATATTAAAACTAAATGTGGTCTATGAATACTTAAAAGACAATGAAGAGAGCTTCCTTTGGCCCGCTATCCAATACCAATAGAGCAAGGCTCTTTCTCCAGGCATGGTTTATCCATGTAGTTCTGTCCCTTCAGACAAATTGACTTTATTATAAAAGTAATACTTTTATACACTTGTTTCAGAGAAAGATTGCTGATCAAATTCTTTACATGGCAAACTTGGCTTAATGGGGCAGGTTTTCTCAAGGATATTCACCTCTAGGGGAAGGGTAGACATCAGTAGTGTTGTTGTCCTCTGCTTGTGGAGTAAACTGAATTTCTTTCCAGCAGAGGTTGTGGAGGAGATGCCTATACTGAGTCCTTGTGCTGTGGGTGGGAGCAGATGTCCTGTCTGGAAGAATCTCTGGCTAGGAAGGCACAATAGTCTTCCAGCAGTGATTTTGCTCAGTTAATCTTTCCTTGGTGGTTTTCCTTTTCTCTTTGATCCTACAAAAGCAGAAACAGCGTGTAGACCATCTCAGTGAAGAACCCTCAGTATAGTAGTTTTACTAGTGCTTCTAGTGAACATTGCCAAGGAAAGGCTCTAGCTCTACTACCTAGTGTCTCTAAATATATTTTACTGGAAGCTTAGGAGGCATGTTAAGCATTTCCCTAGTAGACTCTGGAGATACATTTGAACTTTTCTTGAAGAATGCTTAAGTTAAAGTTCACTGTTGCATATCATATAGACATCATGTGATTCAGGATCAGTCATAGCTCCATCTGTGCATCAACCAGCTGTAGCAGAGACAACACTGTAAACTGTGAGATTATGCCAGAACACGTAACTGCAGATAGCCACAGCATGAGCAGACTCATCTGTTTGCTTAGGTGTCCTCTGGAGTAGTTGACCTAAAATTAGACAATGCTACTAAACTGTCCTAAAGAAAAACAAAGTGAAAGCCCTGCAAAACTGCTCATACCATTTCCATGAAAATTGCTACCAAGGAAGAGGCTTATCTGCTGAGTTAGGGCCAGGTTTTGAATGCTGCCCTTTCAAGAAGGAAAATGTTGCTAGCACCTCCCAGTAGAGTGATAAGTGATGTGGGATTGTGTCTGTAAGGCACAACTGAGCCAGTTGGTGAAGGCCAAATGCATTTAGGACCGTTCTCTGTAAAGGACTGTACTTGAAATGCATAATAGGCAAGTTAGGGTGCCAACAAACAGGATACTACAGATCTTGATTGCATTTCAAGTTTTACTTACAGTAGCGTAATAATTAGTGGTGCTTATGACTAAGTAACAATATGGCACATCAGTAAGACACCAGAAATGTGATGTTGGAACTGCTTCTTAAAAGATTTTACAGTGGATTATGCCTGTACTTTGGGAAATGAAGCCATGAGATGAATAAACTGGCAAAGATTGTCTTACAATAATTTTCCCTGAAAGAGCCGATGGAGATATTTTGCAGTACTTTTCCCCATCATCCTCTTAGTTTTATGTAACGCATTTTTGTAGGTGTATTTCTACACTTTCCCAAGAGTGAAAAAAATATTTTGCTTGTAGTTCATCAGTTCATTTAATTGACAGAATCCTCTACTCATCCTTTTATTCCCCCTTAATCACAATCAAATTGGTGGGGAGACAGCCAAAATGTTAGGTACCAGTGTCTCTCAAGCAGATGTCACACCACTATTTTTTAGCTCGTTTAAATGAATAAACATGTTAAACTGTGAAGTATTACATTTTAGATTTTTTCATTAAAAAAAATGGGACAATCTGTTTACTGTCCTTAATTGAGACAACAATCCTGGCGGTTGCCAGTTTTGGCAGTTGTAATGATGAACTATAAATATTGGGACAAATTAACTAACTGATGATTGTGGAGGATAGTTCAAGCACAATTCTCATTCTGAATGAACAATTTTTTCAGTACTATATTTTCTCTAACTTCCATAACTGTTATATTGGTTTTGCATGTTAAAACAACAAATAAATATCTGACTAGTCAATCAATAGGCTTGATTATGTTGTCTTATGCTTGATAACTAAAAACAGCAGATAAATGCTGACCACCCTGGACCACAGTTCAAGCTTTGCCCAAATTCTCCCTAGCGAGTGTGTTCAGATCAATTATAAATGTGAAATACGAAGAGCTTCATTTTGCTGAATCATGGAAAAACTGAGCAACATACAGATCTTCAGGACTTTGCCATTTCACAAAGAGATTGTAGGAATTTAAAAGAGCACAGCCGAAGGAGGTGAGTATGGAGTTCGGAGTTTGGTGACAAACTGCTGTCATTCTCCTATCACAGTTCCTCCAGAAACAAGAGTGGGAGAAAATAAAAGTAAAACAGCCAATTCTTGCAGGAGACAACCACCTCACAACTCACCTTGTTGCTCAAGAGCTAATTCTTATATCAAATCAGACCTACCACAACTACTTATTTTTCATAGGACATTAAAAGGGCAAGGATGAGATAAAGGTGTCTAGAGCAAAGCAGCTTCTCTTTGGATGGATGGTTCATTTACTTAAGTAAGAAATAAACAGGATTTGGGGGATTTACGCGTGTCAGGTTAATTGCTGCTGCCTTCATTATAAAAAAGTCACATTATGCCAAGTTAGAGAGTCTTTGTGTGTCTGTTACAGAGTTAAATATAAATGTACTAATACTGAGAACGTGTGCATTTCTCTAGAGGCACCTCCTTCTTCTGTCATAGTATCAGCAAAGAGGAGGAACATGGAGGGAAATGGCAGGGGTGCCCTTTTGCTGATTCTGCACTCCTAAAGCATCGCTCCTGCTCTGTGGGGAGCTGCTGGTGTTTAGAGTAGGACTGCAACCCTGGATTGCTTTGGAGAGGCTACAAAAAGAACAGAGCAGAGCTTAACCTACAGGGTGAGTCTCCTACCATCACTAGTGCCTGATTTGTTACAGCAAATAAATAGAAGCTGAGGCATTCAGCCTTTTTACTTTTATTTATTAGTTTCTCAGGGAGGTGCCAGAAAAATTGTCTTTTGTTATCCTTTTGAAACTTGTTTCTGCATAGTTGTTTCCCTTATTGTCTGTGGGACTCCTTTCCAGTCAAGGAATGCCACACTCATACCTACTTCTTTTGGTAGTATCATGCCTACTGCATTATCCTTTTGCAAGGAGGCACTGGCTAGTGACCTGCTGTCTCCCCTGCTTTTGCATGGCTGAAACTGAAGAGGCCTCAAGTAGCTTTTACTGTGTAATATAGTAAGACTTGCTCTGGTTTGGCAAGGGCAGCAAATTCTGAATTCAGGGCAGCTTTATTTAGCCTTTCCTGCCTGAGGAACCTTCAGAGCATCAAGCATGGTGAAAGTCAGGTTTTTGCCTACTTCTCTTTTGATGACTTACTTACTTCTCATTTAAAAGATGATCTAAGGTGCTATGCTTGTCTACTTAAAGCAGAACTGTTTTAACAATAGTATCATGGGGTTTTGCTGCCCTAAAGAGCTTGTGATTGTTCATTCTTAGAAAGCAGGTGACCATATTTGTGTTTTTCTGTTCATTAATCATAGCTTTTCTCAGGCAGTACTTTATCGTTGTTCCACTCTATCTCTACCACTAAACAGAAAAGAGAGTAGAGCAGCTTCTTCAGATCATTACCAAAGACACGAATTAATTTAAATTAGGCAATGTATGTGGGGAACATTTTCCCAGTGCAGTATATAGATTTTTATGTTGAAGAGCAAGCCTGTTCACATGAACGTTTGTGAGTTCACATTAAAATAAGACAAGGTATAAACATGATTGTGTGACATGAGATTATGTCTGAATTTTTTATTTTCTCATAAACTGGTCTTCAGCTGCTTTTAATTAATAGAAAGTGGCCTTTGTTTGCAAGTGGTACAGTTTGGTCAAATGCAGCTTCTCATCTGAAATGTTACAGAATGATAATTACATCCCCTGGGTTAAGGGGTGCCTCAGAATAGGAATTCTCATAATACATATGACTTTTTCCAAAGACTGTGATGCTAAAATTTGGTAAATCCTCCACAGAAATATGAGATGTATGACTTCAAAAAGAGTAATAATTTTGAAATTTTTCCTTGTCTACGAGTTCTGCCTTCTGTATTAGGAAATTTTTGAGTCAATATCATGATAGAGTGGGAAATACCTGAAAGACAAATGGAAGGAGTGAAATAAATGCTCAGGAGACTGCATTATTCAACATGCATTATTCAACCTCTTATGTACACACCTTTGTGACTGGGCTGTGTCAGTGTTATGGAGTGATGGAGAGGCAACACATCTGAGGCAATCTACTTTGCTTGTGACTGTAGCACCCTCAAACCCACATTAGCAG